AGCCAGTTGTTGTGAAGAAAGCCTACTGTACATATAATCATCTCACCATAATGCCATTGGTAAGGGACCAGAGACAGTTAATTGATTTAGATTAATCTTCCTGTAAAACTAAAACATCCTGGCAAGGATTTCTTTTGTGATCTCTGACTGCTTTTTCTCTATGTTATTGGTTCTAGCTGGTGAGGGTCTGGAGCCAGCAGGGGTGACTGCAGACCAGGCCACACAGCCAGTTGCATGTTTTAGTGCACCCTTTCCCTTTCTAAGTATAAATGAGCATTTCATGTAGACCATAGATGCGACAGGGATACATTTGTTTTAACATTAATAAAGGATGTGGTTGTTTGCAAAACTGAGGTTGACCTTTCTGGAAAGAAATTGGGAAATTAAGGAAGTACCGAATTTATTGCTTGATATTGCAACACAGACAGGTGAATCAAGAAGCAAATAACACCACTGTAAAGTAAAACAATGAAATGAAGAGCTTTGTGGAGTAAAGAGCTCTGTTTTAAGGAGAGCTATCTCTTTTCTACATTTTTATGGATAGGAAAATTAGTGTGAAATCCTTATCCCAGAACTGCCATACACCACCAAGTTTAAATGCATTGCAGAAAGCAATTGCAAGTTGAAGGTAGTGGCTTGAAATCCACATACTAAAACACAGTTGATACACTATTGATTTGGGCCTCCGGATGCTCTTCTTTGATCTTTCAAAACTGAGAAGGGTATGTCTGGCAGGTGTGTTGATTTCAACCTAGGGCCTGCAGCTCAGTTTGACATAGCTAAGAAAATACTCAAGTACAACTATAGATAGATCAGATAGAAGACTATAGTTAGACAGAAGACCTGCACTGAAGCTCCAGGTTGCTTTTGCTCCACTTTATATGAGCTTCAGTGTTTTGTTTTAATCCATCGTGATATCTGAAGTGTTTACTAATGCTTGATAATGGCAGCCCTGTTTTTATTTGTCCTCTAAGGCTAAATTGCCTTTGTTTTTAGTGTGTGACTGAACCTCCCCTATCTTATCCACCTCAGAATCTTTGAGTTTAACAGCTAATTGTGCCTTTACAGTTTTATAAGTTTTATGTAAGTGGGTAAATGCTGGTTAGAGCTCTGTTTCTGTTGAGGTGAATGTTTTGTGAATTGGTAACCCTTTATATTCATAGTGTGCGTGTTGTTTTAATGTATTTTTATCCACCATGAAAACTTGCCTGCAGGGATAAATAAAGTTTATTGGATTGAATTAAATTGAATTGAAATGGCCTTGCAATGGCTAGAGTGAACTTCCAATGAGTCAAACCCCCCCCAGCCTCCCCAATTTCACACACAGCAAAGAGAAATCTTTATTAAATTAAAAAATAAAATGGATGGAGTTTCTGTGTAGTGATTTGCTGTAAGGAAACAGTATTGCTCATTTTTGCATCTTGGCAAGCTTTGTTTGAGGGTCTGCAGTAAAAATCCTAATAGTCTTTTTTTCCACAATGATGCTTTTATTACATTAATATATTTAATTTTTTACCATATTAAAGTCAGTTTCTTGGAAGAACTTACCCTCTAACCAGTATGTGCATCATATCCTCAACCTTATGCTTTCGTCTTTGCTTCTGCCACTGGCTTCTTGTAACCTAATTTGTGCACCTTTTTCTAGCCTTGATTGTACAGTATTTTGTAAGAAAGTGGCCCTTTCTTCTTGCCACACCTGCTCCACAAACATGTAATGTAAATTACTCATCTTCCATGTGTCATATTTTTAAGAGAAATTCAAATATATGATATCAGTTTTTAAAAATTACTTTACTTTACAACTTATAGTTAGTACACAGAGAATAACAAGTCACCATTGTGTATTATAAGTTAATGGATGTCTTCCTATGACATCTGAAGAGAAATTATTTTTGGTGGAGTGAAATGGTATAAATAACTTCTGCTGTCCATAGTGCTGATATGCGATCAGCTTTGAAGCAGTTTTCACCCACTATCTGCGGTTAAATGAGTCGCCTATGGTGCTGATTTGAAATCAGCCTTCAAGCAGCTCTGTGCCACAGTCTTTCATTTGAAAATTAGGAGTTGTCTATGGTGCTGATTGGGAATCATCCTTGAAGCAGCCCTCTCCTACAGTCTACTGCTTAGAAATGAGGAGTTGTCCATGGTGCTGAATTAAAATCAGCCATGAAGCTCCACTCTGCCACAGTCTTCCAGTTGGAAATTAGGAGTTGTCCATGGTGCTGATTTGGAATCGGCTTTGAAGCGGTCCCCTCTCGTCCACTGTTTGGAAAGGAGGAGTTGTCCATGGTGCTGATTTGGGCAAAAGACCATTAACAGCAGCTCACAACGTTTTTAACTTACTGAGCTTGCTACTGCAACACAGTCTCTAACAGTTACAATGTTGCAAGTAGCTGCTCCGTGCTGCACACATAATCACGCCAAGTTGATTTATATTGTAGGGCTACAAGCAAGAGGTGTTTTAAACTAGCTGGGTTTCTCTGAATAAAGAATATAAGAATAAATTGGGTCTCTTTCAACTGGTTGCAACCCAGTAGGATATTGTTTTTAGACTGGGTAAAAACTATATTAGAAGTGTAAGCATTAATTAAGAGTTGTCCATGGTGCTGATTTGGAATCAGCTTTCAAGCGGTCCCCTCTCTTCCACTGTTTTGAAAGGAGGAATTGTCTATGGTGCTGATTTGGGCAGAAGGCCATAAACAGCAGCTCACAACATTTTTAACCTACTGAGCCTGCTTTTGCAACACAATCTGACAGTTACAATGTTGCAAGTAGCTTCTCTGTGCTGCACACGTAATCATGCCAAGTTGATTTATATTGTAGGGCTACAAGCAAGAGGTGTTTTAAACTTGCAGGGTTTCTCCGAATAAATAATATAAGAAGAAATTGGGTTTCTTTCAAGTGGTTGCAACCTAGTAGGCTATTGTTTTTAGACTGGGTAAAAGCAATATTGGATGTGTGAGCATAGATAGAATCATGAGAGGAGATGGCTATAATACACAATAGCAACAGTGGCAGGGAAACATCTTTTTATTGTGAGAAAATAGATTGCTTCAGTAACCTCTGACTAGTACCTTCCTTTATAATCCTTTCCACGTGGGAGATATAATATAAATTATAGTACTGGTGAAGTATCCCGGCAACACAACTGTTACCATCTATGGAACTTTTACCCATGCTCCCCTCCCTTTTCTCACTCTCTCACTGCCTTGTATTGATCTGCTGCTGGTTATGTCTTACAGTACTATATCCACAGATATTTATGTTTGTAGCTGCTGGTCTCCGGTTCCCATTATGGGCGTGAGCGATAGGCACGGGCAGTGTTTCAGCACCTCACTGCTGAGGAAAAATGTAATATTCAAGAGACATGTCCTTAGTCAGCACTTCCACCCCAAGCACTGGCTTGGTAAAATGACCAGGGACAGCGAGTATACTGAAGCATAAGCTACAAGGGAAAAGATGATTACAAGACAAAAGCTTTGCTTAACTATGTAAACCAAATTAATCAAATTTTTTCCTTCCAGAGAATTTCAATTTGAAAGAGAATGACTTTTAACTAAACCAAGTTTGCCCAAATCTAAAAAAATCTTCATTTTGACATGACTCTTCAAGGGTCAGACCTAACATAAACAAATTAATTTGAACACTTAATGGAAAAGGGGTAACTCTGAAGGGAAATGTAGCACTGTTGAAAGGTTAAATGCCAATTAGCACTGTTTGTCAGCTAGAAAAGAGCCATAGAAATCAACACTTAGATGTTATCAAACCAACTTCAGAGATCCAAAAATAAGCAAATCACCTACGCCTCAATTGCAAGAGCCTCAGTCAACAAACTGATTTGTTGTCAGTCATGCATGAACTCCCCTATGCCCCCTCCTCTTTCTGTCTCTCTCTGGATCTCTCCTTCTTATGTTCAGCTTCTCTCTGTGAACATTCTCTGCACGGCTTTTTGGTACATCAGCATCCTAACCCTCCTAACCTTGCTGACTGAGCCTTTGAGAGTCTCCAGCTGGTTGTAATGGTGGGTAATCTTCAGCAGAAAGTCTCTCTCCCTAACATTGTCAAATTCTTGTCCCTTGTCCCTCAGTGCATATGTCTCAGACACACATGCTCTGATTAACGGGTGAACAACTTCACAGAAGACGGCATACTTGACATTTTCACCTTCTCAAATACCAAAAGAAAATTCATCTGAATACCATCTCCGGACTTCATCACAGTCCATTGTGTTCAAGCATTTCTTCATTTTCTCTTACTTTTGTTTTCAACCACTCATGCTGGTAATAAAAAAATTGTACAGCCTTTCTGTACTGCAGATGAAAGCCACAGTGGCCCCTTTCACTCTTTGCACTGATGAGAATCAATGATTCCCAGGATTTACATACAACACTGCACAGAAAATCACAATTCACACTTCTGTGGAGACTTGCCACTGAGGAGTGAAGTTGCATATGGAGTTGAGGAATGCAAGTGAATAACAAAATGGAATTTGAAAACAAGGCAGACAGTAGACTGTGTAGAAAGCTAATTTTTGCCCAAGCCCTGATTGCCTTTAACTCTGAAAGGTTTTTTTTTTTTCATTCAGTTTATGTTTCAGCACTTGCTGTTTTTGTTCTCTTTCAGAATACACAAACAAATAAGTTTCTTTTTAGTCTGTTGACTGCAATTGTAAGGGTTGGAATAATGCACAATACACAGTTCTTTATGCCATTATGCGAAAACCATGAGGGTTTAATTGAAGGTGAAGCCACCAATCTACTCTCTATCTCTACCTACCCTTTAGAGTTTACCTTTTCAGGCTGACAGACACACATGATCCCTTGGTCCAAACATAATGCTTCTCTATTACTTTTAATTTCTAATGGTGGCTCCGATGATCGCCATACTACTACTACTCTCTCTCTTTCCCTCTCTCCACCTCTTCATTTGTAGGTTCCCTCCATCACCACCAGGGGCTTTCCAGACCGCGCCGTGCCGAGAGCGGCTTGGCAGTCCCACTCCCTGCGCTTCTCGTAACGGAGACTCCAGACGCGCAGCGTGGTAGCAGACGGGGCGCACAGAGCGTCTGTCCCTCTGATTTTTTTTGTCGCACAGGGGATCGTATACCTTACATTCCGGCAGAAGCGGCAAGTTGAATAGCCGTCACCGCATCCCTCTGCAACTTGTCAAGGCAAAGGCATTTGTTTCCACCGCCCGATAACAAAGGTAGGACTTTGGGGGTGTTTTATTTAATGGGAAAGTTCGCTGCGCCGTGGCTTGGTCTTGTAACATGTACAACTCAACTGGACTTGCATAATTTAGACATTGCACTGTAGTTGTTTTGTGTGTACTGCATTAGAGGGAAATTGCACAAATGCCCCTACACAGTGTTTTTTGTCTGCTTGTATTTGCGTGCGTGAGGGATGTGTATGAGGAGGCAGAACGGTGGCTTTTGCATTGTGTTAAACCTTTTTCATCTTCACTTAAAGGCTGAGCATCACCACCTAACTTGTTGCCACTTGTAACACAAATAAACGGCGGGTTAGTGAGGTCGGTAATGAGCGATGCGCTGAAGACAAGTCGTGATTCCGATCATATAGAATGATTTAGACAATATCAGTCTAAATGTAACGATTTTAGGTTACAGTGAAGTAGGAAATGGAGCCCGACGGGTTACACAAGCTGTGATATGACTGTTCGCATATATTTATTTATTGTATCAAAATTTCAGATGAAATCTCCACAGTAAGACTGGGCAGCAGTAGTAGGTGTGCGCATGCATTCCGTGTGGCATGGCTGTAGAAATGTAAAATTCTAGTGTTAAGAATGTGCGGCTACCTGTGATCAAGAGTATGTGTAAGGCCAGCCTAATTGTAGCAGCAAACACTACCGACTTTTATAAATGAAATTACGGGAGAGTAAAATGATTCCACGCGCCTTCTGCACAGTGGGATGCGTTTCCGAGGACTGCAGCCACTTGATGCGCCAACAGGATCCATTTAGGGAAGTTGGATGTGTGCCACTGTGTGCCACTGTGCACTAAAGCCACGCTGTTGAATGACTGAATGCAAACTTACAAACACACTGCTATTAAAACAATTTCATCAGGATGCAATATATTGATTTGTGTCTATCCCGCCTTGTGATTTTTCCTTACAGTTGTACAAAACGTTAAAGTCTCGTTACAGAGAATACGGGTTGCAAATAACGGTCGGTCCTCTCTCCTGTTTTATATGTATCTATCGCTGTTGTGCACATGTTTATATTAACATTAATTAATTACTTAGCTTTATTGATTCATATTTTAATCGTTTTTAATCCTCATGTGGACCGTACGGATATCCACATATCAAACTGCTGGACAAGATCCAACATGTGCAACATGCTTTTCCCCAGCAGTTACTGTGTCTTTGACTTCAGCTCCTCTCCTCAGTTCACAACCTTTAATTGCATTTGATGCTTACGATTACTTTTCGGTTGATTGTAAATTAACAACTCAAATAATTTGTAGTCATGCCATTTAGATTCACTTCAAAAATGATATTTGTGTAACTCATAAAACAGTCACTGATGAGACAGACAAATGGTAGCTCAGGCTCTCCTTATAGAACAAAGATTCATTGTGCTGTGACTTATCGCAAAAGATGCTGTACTGCCATACATACATCACAACAACAAGACTGATCTAATACCTTCCACCCCAACTTAATATTTGTTTTGCAGGCAGGCAGACTCTTCATCTCTGTGGTATATGGATGGAAAAAATACAACCTAGGACTTCTGTTTGCTTTATATTGCAGAATATAATTTGTGACCGTGGGGTTACTGTACACTTTAAACTGGATATTGGATATTACTGAGTGACCTTGGCTGAGGTTAGAAATGCTTAAGTTTACTCCTTTAGGGTGTCTGCCTTCTTGATCATTTGTATTGGCGTATACATTCACACTATTTGCCTGCTTGTGTATTTGAGTGTGTACACACAGGGAACTCTGTGTGTTTGTGAGACCGCCAGCATGCCTCAGTTTATCATTTATCCTGAGCTAATTGGTGTTTGGGAAAGTGAGAGAAATGCCTCTTGTCCCAATAGCCAATCAATGACTTTAATTTTCCAATTAGATCTGGATGTGTACAGAAATCCGTCAAAGAGGCAGGACCTCTGGGTGAGGACCATGACCTTTATTGACCCTGTGTTTGGAAAATTGATTTTTGCAGGTTACCATATAGGATGAAAATCGGTTGGAGTAAAGATAAAAAAAACTAAATGCAGATTTGAGGTGGAATTCATGCTTTAAAGTTCTTAACATTAACTCTCCATATTCTTATCTTTATTTTTATTCGTACGCTCATAAACAATGTCATCAGTGTAATTAAACTATATTTTAGAACTATTTACTTACAGTATATTGTTTTTTGTGAAGAAAAAGTATCTTAAAAACTTACTGAACCATTTACAATTTAACAGTTAAGAAAGTATTCAGTTGGTAATTTAAAAAAATGAATCAAGATGCTTTTGAGATTTTTGCAACGCTTGTCCAAATCTCATCAAACATCTATAGCGTTGTGCAAATGCTTCAGAGTGCGGTGTTTGTGGTCTTTTACCGTAATTACTATTTCATTTAGTAAACGCACAGACACTGTAGGCTTTGTGTTTTTTTTACAAGGCTCTATAAACATTTTTCAAGAACCGCAGATTGACAGACATGCATGAACACACGTATGTGCGCACACACAAGACACTTTACTGATAGGTGTTACAGAATATAAAACATTTTCTCTGCAAGAAAAGAAAGGAAATAGAATACATTCGCAATCTTACTGTCCATTACAGACGCGTATCTGCTTTGTAACCAGGACTCCTCATTTATTCAGCCGGTGGTCTAACCAGCATGTACATTACAAGGGCCATGTAGCAGTAACCCAGATGGCAGAATGGGCTGATTGTGATTTATGTACCAAAAGTGAATGCATTACTGTGAGCTTCTGGAGTCAGTGCCAATTCCAGGCAGGCATTTTCACACATTTTTCAACACACACACACACACACACACACACACACACACACACACACACACACACAGAGACCCACACAAATCACACACAAAAATAGAGGCTTACATGCAAAACTTTGTTAATACTTGCGTGTGCATGCAGTAAAAGTTCTATCTCTCACTCTGTCTCTCCTTTTACCTCTGTCTCTGTTTCTCTTTTTGTCACACATACTCACAGACACATGCGTGTACACAGCCCTCCTGAAAAATCGTTAAGATGAAGCAGTCCACCGTTGTGAGACATTGATTACCGTTTACCAAGCTGGAGCATAAATGTAGTGTGTAAAGGAGAGATGGCTTGGATAGACATAGGAAAGGAGAGAGAGAGACAGAGGAAGAGAGAAGTGGGAAAGACAAGAGAGAGTGTGTGCGTGTGAGAGAGAGAGAAAGAGTGGCTGATAGATGGCAGTTATGTGGCAGTAAAGATGACAGATACGGGGTGGACCAGGGGATCTTTATGGCTAACAGAAAGGGGACAGATTAGGCCAACTAATTGATCTGGACCTGTGGTTAGGTGCCCGGTTCATTCTCAGCAAGCTCAGTATACGCTCTCAAACACACACACCTCCAAGCATACATTTTCACAGTCACACCCCTCACCATTCACACCTGCTGTCTTGTTGCCGGTCAGGGACGGTCAGCCCTTAGTCACTTCATTTCCCCCTCCGGGCAGGGACTGCATCAGCCATATTAACTCTTGGGCTCTGTGATGGAATCACTAGGTAGGAGGAGATGGAGAGCTGAGGGCTGTGGACAGGCTCCATGGGTGAATTTCCAGCCCTGTTTGCACCTGATTTCAAGGAGAGGGTTACAGGCAACACTTTGATCCAATTATTTTAGAGTTCTGTGGCATTGCTGAAGCTAGTTTTTTTTATGCTTTTACTTGTGATGAAACAGGCTACTAATACAGGTATTTTTGTCATTGTTGCAGCAGTGTTAGAGCCTGTGAGACCATGTTGGAGCAAGCTAACTCTTTCCTGGGGTCTACTATGCTGATCAAATTATCATCATGTATTATCACCAGTCCTTCAAGTTAAAAATAATAGTTTGACATTTTCGGAAATAAGCTTAAGCGTTCTTGTTGAGAGAACTCTGATACCTTTCCAACGTCTGTACGTTAAATATGAATCTACAGCCAGCAGGCATGAAGCTCAGCTTAGTTTGGAATAAAGACGGGAAGCCAGGGAGCCCCTTTAGCTCTCCCTCTCTCGCCCCCGACTTTCTTGTCACTCTCTGTCCTGTCAGAATATATTGAAATGGCAAAAATGGCTTTCTTGGTTCTGTCATCAAAACTTGAAACATACGCTGACTCAACCTACAAACATTCTATTTTTAATTAAAACTGTATCTCATCTGTTTAATCTGTACACAAAATATATGTAGAAATGGCAAGTTGTGGTTTTACATGCTGGAACTATTAATATGTTATTGCCTAAATTTAAAGGTAGCCCACTAGTTGTTACTTTGGTTTGGGTTGGTTTGGCAGGCTATTTCCCCACACAGTGTCCAGTCTTTATTTTAAGCTAAGCTAATCGCCTGCTGGTTTGGGTTGGTTCTAGCTTCATATTTACTATACAGACATGAGAGTGGTGTCAATATTCTCAGTAAATGCCGAAAAGCATATATCCTAAAACATCAAACTATCTTTTTAAGCAGGATAATCTCATTCTTAATTCTCTTTATTAAATTTAATATTTGAAATTCTTTGAAACATTCATAAAAACATAAAACATGTTGGTGTTTGTGGCTGTTTAATATGGTATATCCAAAATCAGCTACAGCACACCACTGGCAAATTCTATTGCAGTATTTTTCAGTTTATTTAGACAGTTCAAACATACTGATGTTGACATTAAATGCCCAACATATTTTTATATGTCCAAGTGGTGTATCAGATGGGTGCTTTGATGATTTTCTATTTACATTTGAAAGCAGCTCAAAGGTTTTCACTTAAGGATAATCTTTTTTTTTTTCCTTTTTTTTTCTTTTCCAGGCCAAAAAAAAAAAAAAAAACTTGGAGGACATTGCACTGGTTAGAGTACTATACTGTAATTTCTCAAGCAAACCGAACCCACAAAGAACTAAGCAACAAGAGAGGAAAATGGACTCTAACAAGATTCAGACAGCTGCTGAGTCCATCTGTCCTTATGATGCAGTAAAATCTGTTGATATGGG